CCCTTCACAAATTGAACTCTGAAATTTGATATTCCTCCACTTTCTGCATCCTTCAGAATCCACATTCTACTCATTCCCACCTAAAAAATTCATCAAATTTCATTAAGTTCATCGAAATCCCAGATGGGTCCTTCCCTCGCCACCATCCCCCAATCCACAATCACCAATCTATTGAAGTTGTTGCGGACTAGCATGTCTTCAAAGCTGATGTGTTACTGTTCGTTTTGAATTAGTTTATTTGTTATCTGAAATTATGTTAATTTGTAGCTGTTTGTTTAAGATATTATGTTTATATTTTGATAACTGACTGCCATTGTCTGTACCTTTTAAAGTTTTAGTTGCATAATGCAAGGAGTTGCTTTTGCACTCAATTTACTCCTTTCTTAGATTCCTATTCTTCAATGGTATTAGGGTGAAGTTAAACACCAACATTTGAGAGAATTCAAGTATAACCATGGAAGCAAGTAGCAATTTCACTACAAAAACTCGTTTTTTTGGTCAAAATTATCAAATTTGGTCAATCAAAATGCAAGCATATCTGAGAGCATTAATTTGACCTTTAGGATGTTGTTGAGTATGACACAAATCCACTCTGTTGCTTTCAAATGCAACCTTGAACCATCTAAGGCATCACAGAAAAGAAGTGCTAAAGAAATACAAGGCACTTATTAGTGTTCATTATGCAATATCTGAAGAAATTTTCACAAGGATTATGACTTATGAAACAGCAAAGTAAGCCTAGGATAGGCTCAAGAAAGGAGTTTCCAAGGTGATACAAAGGTAAAGCAAATTCAAGTGATTAATTTTAAGAGAGAATTTAAGGTTACTAGGATGAAAGATACAAAATTGGTCAAAAAGTTTTTTGATGTTGTGATGAAAATGGTGAAGTAGATAAGAATATTTGGTAAAAACTTATAGAGGAGTATTGTAGATAAGATCAAAGTTGTCAATACCGTACCAGTATACGTATTAGTTTTGCTATTAGAATGGTATATACCGAATACCAGAATTTTTTGCATACTGTTTCGGATTGATCGCTATAAATATATATTTTTATAAATTAAATATTAAATTTTAAAATAAGATAAGAGATACTAATGTTTAAAACTATCATATTCCTATAAATTAAAAATGAGTTTAAAAGGATCATTTTTAATCCATTAACTTCTAATATATGCATATTTTTCGTCCATCCACTTTAACTTAAAGGACTAAAAATGTGTATATTTAGACAAACTTAACAAAATAATTGATAGAAGGACTAAAAAAAATACAATTTTCATAGTTGATGAACTAAAAAAGTACATAAAAAAGTTAAAGGATGAAAATTATATAAAACATTAAATTTAAGGACCAAAAATGAAATTTACCCTTTTTAAATTTGAATTGAGTTCTACTGGTACATCAAAATTTGATCGAAATGAACGAAATTGGATCAAAACGAAATTGGACCATGTATTGTTTCGGCTTAATGTAAAAACCGATATATACTGTTCATAATGACCGGTATGATACGATATTAATAACATTGGATAAGATTTTTATGAATTTACTAGAGAAATTTAAGAATAAAATTTCTCCTCCAAAAGAGTCCAAGGACATGATACATATGACACTCAAAACTTGTGAATGCTTTTAAAGCTATTGAAGAAAGGAAAGCAATACGGCATGAAGCTTTCGTTGAAGATGCCTTAGTTGCAAATGGATAAGTAGAGGGTTAGTTGAAAAAGGGTAGTGAAAAAACGCAATTTTTTGATAGCTAGAAGAGGAAAGGGGAAGAGAGATTTTTACAATGACAAACAAAGCAACAATTATAAAAGCAAGAAAGCCAAATCCTCCATGTCCTCATTATGGAAAGAGGATTCATACGGCAAGTTATCATTAGTTTAGGCTCAGTGTCAAATGCAAGTCTTGTAAACAATTCGACCATGTTGAAAAGTTTTGCAAAGCTAGGCAAATCAACATCAAAAAACTCAAGTTGTTAGAACGTGGATCATGTTGTGAAGGTTTGACATACAGCCGATACAATAATTAAATTTTGCTCCTTTGAATTTCAATATTGTTGCTGCTTCGACTCCAACCCTTCAAGAGAAAATTAAAAAACGAAGATGAAACAAATGAAGAAATTAAATGTAACCCACCCGTGATACCCCATATATATAGGCATCTCCATGAACACATAATAGAGTCTGATTGATAAAATTATAACTTGGCTTCCTTCTTCTTCTTCTTCTTCTTTTAAGTTGTGAGCTTACAAATTGAGCTGGATTAATAATTGGAGACTACTTGTGTACTATCTCAATCTAACATAGGAAAATTACTAAGTGGACCTTAAATTTCAAGCGACAATTATTTCTTTCAGTAGGTAGTAATTTACTTGATAAAAACCTTATGCTACTTTTACATCAATGATAACCAAAACTACAGTAGTTAATTTAGATTTCATTTAATATCGTTGTGGTTTTTTGTTTTTTGTTTTAGTTTTTATAAATTTCATAACTATTGAAAATCAAAATTAAAAATTAAAACTTATTTAAAACAAATTTTAATACTAACAACAAAAAATATAAATTTAATTAATAGTGTTGAAACTTGTTTTTTCTTATTTGTCTAGTAATCTTATATCATATATTATAAAAATACATAAAATTAAACAAGTTTTATAT